CTGTGTGTGTGTGTGTGTGTGTGTGTGTGTGTGTGTGTCTGTCTGTCTGTCGCTCTCTCTCAGTCTGTCTGTCTCTCTCTGTGTCTCTCTCTCTCCCCCCTCCTTCCCCAGACCAACCACGCTCTACTCTGCCAGTCTGTGCAGCATCCAAATGCGCCCCACCTAACAACACCTGTTGAGAGCGAGCACAGGGAGCTGACCAGGAGTTTACGACCCCATTTCCTGGTGTCCGTGTCACTGAACTGTTTGTTGGGACAGGGGAAGGTTACCAGCGTCTGTGTCATGATTAGGCTTTTTGCAGCTGCATGCACGCAGAGGACGAGTTTTATTCCCCAGTTGAGAGGAAGATATTATCATAATAATACCATAATACATTGTGCTGAGTATCTCAGTCTTCCTGTCAGGACGCTGTATCACACACAGCCCGGATTCCCATTGACAGGCAGGCAGGGTTGAAACAGCTGACCTCTTACATGGCATTCTGTAAAGTGTAAAGATAGGGGCGTTAAAAATGCTTGCAAACATTACTTTACTTACTTATCCCTTCAAGTCAACTTATTCTTGATGACGGTCGAGGCACCACGGATGATCGGGCGTCCACTTTTCTCCATTCTGCTCTATTTTCAGCCTTTCGAGGGGTTTCACTAAACTCTGAACCTATCCATTCTATTATGCTGTCTTCCCATCTCTTTATCTGTCCGCCTGTCCTTCTCCCTCCTTGTACAGTGCCCTGTTGATCTTGTTTTGTGCCCATACCATCTCAGTTTGCGTTTTTTTCACAGTGGAAATATTACTTACAGTTTAGAGCCAACCACCAAACGACGCTAGTTATGAGCAGCCAGCTGACCAAGAGTGTATGACCCATATATAGATTTAATCGCTTCACGGCGCCGGTACAAGTTACATTACAGCATGGTTGAAAACAGGGTCGTTTTGATTTTTTTTCTTCTAGTTTTTGTCGCTTTGGGGGGGGGGCTGGTTAAAGTGTTTTGCGGTGCTCGCAACTGCAAAAGGTAATATTATTATTATGAGCGCGCGGGATACAAACATTTTCAGTTGGTAGGACATGTTAAATTTTGCCCTGGTGGCGGCCGGAATCTACTCTTATCGATTTTGAACCACCAAGGGATCTTTAGCGTGCGCAAATTGTACATGGGACATCTGAGATTGTTAGCCCTTATCCGAGAAGGCTAGGTGTTAGACCTTTCCTATCATAAGGTCAGGGGTGTGACTGAAAGACAGCAGTAAGAAGGAGCCTAGGAGTAGCAGTAGAAAGGCTGCAGAAAGAGTCAGGAGGAGCCAGAGGGGGG